CTCTAGAAATGATCTAGAAACATTTTGTAGCTTGCCATATCAATTAAACCCCTTTAACTGTTGACAGTGTACATCCTTAAGCATTCATTTGTCTAGCAAATTAGATCATGCTTATTCTATGTGCTAGTTTTATCTTCTTTGGTAAATATAACTTGAATCCAGTCTGTTATAGTTAGGAACCTTATTATCTCTCCATGGGAATTGACTGTTATTTAATTAAAGCTCAGGGAACTGCATTGACATTCAGGAAACTGAACATGAATGCAGTGTGTTTGAATCCCTAAGTAAAGCACAGTAGTTCATAGAAATTAAACCATTTCTTGACCTGTGTTCAGTTATTTAGATAGTATAATTGCAACTGTTAGAGGAACAAGAAAAGGGAACTTGGAACATGATAATGCATTGTATGCATGGAATACAATAAAACTGCAAAAAATGAAGCTGTGTATATTTTATTTTCATGTTATTCTTCAATTCACAGTTGGTGAACAGATCTGCAACTGTATAATAGTATAACTGGAGTGCTGTTTCTAGTTTTCATTTGGTGAGCTTTCCTTTGTGGGCAACCAGGATGATTTATTTTAAAGGGTATGAATGCTAATATCAAATCAAAATAAAAACACACATTTCTTAAAATGAAGCATTCATGTTTAACATGACAAGTAAAAGCAAATCCCAAATTTCCTTCTGTTTAGATTTTATTTGGAAGTTTTTGTGAACTTTCTAAAGCCTTTATCCTAAGCAATTTTATTAAATTGACATGATTATTAATTGATTATTAAGGACAGCTGGAGAAATGCATGCTATTTAAGTTCAGTGGCTGGTTTGTTTTTTATACCTGTTAATGTAATCTGACATCCGTAAAACCTTGGAAGGGGGTAAATTGCATCCCCAGGAACCTTATGGCTGTTTCTACTTCCCTGATTTATAAAATATTGAATTACAAACTTTAGGTTAAAAGTTAAATGGTCTTTAATATGATACAAATAAAAATTAATTGAGTTGCCTAGCTTAGTGGCCCCATGTAGAGAGCAGTGCATGAAACCAGAGATGCGAGAGTAAGATATACAGTATTAAAATGTTTCCCTTGGTTGTTTACTAACATTCTGGAAATAGCTATTATTGCTGAGATGATACGATACATTTTGATGTTTGGTCTTTATCCACTAGAGAGACATTCATGTAGCATAGCCTTTTTATTGTTTTGTGTCCATGGGAGTGATTTAATTAATTTTCACTTCCTAGATGCGTAAAACTGGGTATTGTCTTTTTAGTTTAGTCATTTGATTTTAGGAAAAAGCTCCTAACATCCTTCCCCACTAATATATATATTTTTTTAAATCGATCCCTACTAGCATTTACTTAAAGTGGCTGCTTGTTCTAAACCTTAGCCCAAAGATAAAATGCTGGCATAATGGATGTCAATCTTAACCTTCATTAAAATTACTGGATATATTCTTACATCCCAAGTCCTGGAGGACTGGAAAAGGGCCAACGTGGTCCCCATTTTCAAAAAGGGGAGGAAGGAGGACCCAGGCAACTATAGACCAGTCAGTCTCACCTCCATCCTTGGCAAAGTCTTTGAAAAAATTATCAAGGCTCACATTTGTGAGAGCCCGGCAGGACAAATTATGCTGAGGGGAAACCAGCACGGGTTCGTGGCAGGCAGATCGTGCCTGACCAATCTAGTTTCTTTTTATGACCAGGTTACGAAATGCCTGGACACAGGAGGAGGGGTGGATGTCATATACTTAGACTTCAGGAAGGCCTTTGATACGGTATCCCACCCCATACTGGTGAACAAGTTAAGAGGCTGTGACTTGGATGACCACACAGTCTGGTGGGTGGCGAATTGGCTGGAGGGCTGCACCCAGAGAGTCGTGGTGGATGGGTCGTTTTCGACCTGGAAGGGTGTGGGAAGTAGGGTCCCACAGGGTTCGGTCCTTGGACTGATACTGTTTAATGTCTTCATCAGTGACTTGGACGAGGGAGTGAAATGTACTCTGTCCAAGTTTGCAGATAACACAAAGCTATGGGGAGATGTGGACACGCCGGAGGGCAGGGAACAGCTGCAAGCAGATCTGGACAGGTTGGACAAGTGGGCAGAAAACAACAGAATGCAGTTCAACAAGGAGAAATGCAAAGTACTGCACCTAGGGAGGAAAAATATCCAGCACACCTACAGCCTAGGGAATGACCTGCTGGGTGGCACGGAAGTGGAAAGGGATCTTGGAGTCCTAGTGGACTCCAAGATGAACATAAGTCGGCAGTGTGACGAAGCCATCAAAAAAGCCAATGGCACTTTATCGTGCATCAGCAGATGCATGACGAATAGGTCCAAGGAGGTGATACTTCCCCTCTATCGAGCACTGGTCAGACCGCAGTTGGAGTACTGCGTGCAATTCTGGGCGCCGCAATTCAAGAGGGAAGCAGATAACCTGGAGAGGGTCCAGAGAAGGGCCACTCATATGGTTAAGGGCCT